CTTCTTTAGTTTGGTGCCTGTGTCCTTTCCACTAACCCCATCAATTGGCAAAACAGCTCCCGTAGTCCACCTTCTCCAATCTACCCACTCTCCCATTCAGCCCTGCTCCCCCTGTTGCTCCCCTGGCTTGGAGGAGGTTGGGACAGGGAGGACAGCTCTGTCATGTTCCCCTTTCCACAGCTGTCCCCCAGCCTGGCTCCTTTCCTCGCTCTCCCCTGGGCGCCATGCCCTGGTACAGTGCTCCACCAAGCAGCATCTCTGGCCTCCAGACCACCCCAGACACCCCAGAGATACCAGTATATCCCTCCAGCATCCTTTCATGTCCCCCCTTGGAGACATACAACCCACAACAAGCTCTTGGCCTGGCCCAGGTTGGCTGTGGGCACACCCAAGGGTTTGGGGGGGCTCTGTGCAGGGCTGGGCCAGTCCTCACCAGCAGCTGCTCCCCGATCTTCAACTTCTCCACCTGGATCTCCTGGAGGCTCTTCTTCATCAAGCTCTTGGTCATGGCATTCTGCGCCGTCATCCGGGTGGCTGCGATGAGGTCCTTCACCATCATGACGGACAACACGGGGTCCCACACCCGGAACTGGATGTCGGCACCCATGGAGATGACCGCCCCATCCTTGGAGGTCAGCTGGGGCAGAGGGGGGGTCAGGATCTCTGCTCCTCTCCACCCCCATGGCCCAACCCTTGTGCATAGAACCTGTGAGCAAGGGCATTCATTTCTTTCTCAGATGGCAACCAGCTCTAGATCTCTTTATTAAGAGAGTTACTAGAAATAAAACCAACCAAAATGATGAGGTTTGGGCTGGTCTGAATGCTGAGGATGGCCTCCAGCATGGGACTGTTACTGAGAGACATCTGGGAAGGATGGGGTTTGATGGTTTTGAGATGTCTCCAGCCAGGAAACGTGCATTGAACAAGGTGTGCAAAGTCAAGAGGAGCTTTTCAACCACAGCCAGGTGGGAACTCTGGGTTCACAGCACCAACACAACCCCCCCGACCTCACCATGAGGATGGAGGAACTGAAATTTGGGTCCGTGCACAGCACCGAGGGTCAGATCATCCCAAAATCCACCTGTTCTGGGTATTTTTGAGATGTTTCCCCACCCTGCCCTGAGGCCCCAGCAGCTCACCTTGCAGGGGGGCACATTGAAGGCCCTCGTCCTCAGATCCACTCGCTGCCAGTGATCAATGAAAGGCAGCAGCAGGACTACGCCGGGTCCCTGCGGTGCCCGGATGCGGCCCAGGCGGAAGATGATCATTCGCTCGTAAGTGGGCACGATCTGCAACGGGAAAGTTTCAACCAGGGAAAAAGCAAAACCCTGGGTCCTGCAGGACCAGGGGCAGCTGGGAATGTTTTTCTTCCCCCCCCCCCATGGAGGATGGGTTGCAATCCCACTCCTTGCCTGTTTTCCTCCCTTACCTTCAAAGCAAACCATCCCGAGATGGGGAAGGTGACAACCATCAGCAAGAAAACCAAGGAGGTGATAATCCCATGGCAGATCCAGGACAACCAACCCTGGGAAGAATCTGCAGTGGGATGAAAGGGGGGGATGTACCTGCTTTCCCAAGCCTCTCCCTTGCACCCCAGGAAAGCCATCTCCCCGCTGAGGTCAGGACTCACCTGCAGCATTCCCGGCTGGCCCCAGAAGATCTTGCTTGGACCCGAAGGAGAAGAAGCCCTTCTGGGCAGTGTAGAGCCCGATGCTGGACTGCTGGAAGCGGTCAAAGTCTCCCAAGGGAAGGGCTTGGTATCCCGACCGGCTGAACATGATGCCGGTGCCTTGCACAGGACCCCGTTTTCCCTGCTCGGAGCCCTCTAAGGCCAGCTCCCGTTTCCCCCCCCAGCCCTTGGTCCCTGTCCCAAACCAATGGCCCTGCCCAGCCGCCTGCAAACCAGAGAGATGCCGGAGAATTGCCGACAAGCCCTGCTGTTATCGCGGAGGATGCTTGCTAGAAGAAATCCAACCCTTCGGTGGGTTTCCTTGCT